ATTCTATTCTATTCTATTCTATTCTATTCTATTCTATTCTATTCTATTCTATTCTATTCTATTCTATAGCTCTTACATACATGTTACTTCTTTGAGGGTGTCAGCATACTTTTACCAGAAATTGACTTGTGAGCTGGTTTTGCTTTTTTTCCCTCCTTTTTCTGCTTTTTATTATGTTAATATAAATCTTGACACATTATTTCATTTCAGTGCAATGATATTTACATAATATGCTAACATTATTAATGTTATTTATTTAGATACTTTAGAGAAGGGGAGGTTCCAGCCTTGGCAACTTTAAGACCCATGGACTTTAACTCCCAGAATTCCCTAGCCAGCCATCATGGCTGGGGAATTCTAGGAGTTGAAGTCTGCAAGTCTTAAAATTGCCAAGATTAGATATATCTGCTTTAGAATATTGGATAAAATAAGAGGGAAAGAATGGATTTTAAAGAAAATGGGGAAAAGTGGATATACATTTTATTGCTTTTCTTTCTTTCTTTCTTTCTTTCTTTCTTTCTTTCTTTCTTTCTTTCTTTCTTTCTTTCTTTCTTTCTTTCTTTCTTTCTTTCTTTCTTTCTTTCTTTCTTTCTCTCTCTCTCTCTCTCTCTCTTTCTTTCTTTCTTTCTTTCTTTCTTTCTGAATTCAAAAAAATACCTACCTTCATTTACCGGGGGATGAAAACAAGTTGGTGCACCAGATGCCTTTAGATCAAAGCAGCATCCAATTCGTTTGCACCTTTTGCGTGTGATCCCTTGATAGCCACACTCCTTTCTTTCTTGAGATGGAATTGTTTTCCTTGCATAGGTTACTGAAGCTGTTATTGTAAATAATATTTAGGTCACTGTATTTTCCAGATAACAAGCTTGGCTGTGGCACAAAAAATAAAGTTGCATGCTGCCTGAATTAATATTTATTACGAATGGCTTGAATTCGACTAATGTCTGGTCTAAGAGTTTTAGGTTTGTTTTATTAGTAAACCTGACAGCGTGGCTCCATCCT